CACTGGCATCACCCAGAGCAGTCAAGGCTGGTGGGGACGTGGCCATGAGTGTGGCACCAGCCTAGGATCGCAGCCCGGGAGCCAAGGTGGGGTCCTGCCGCGTACGGATGCACGCGCAGCGAGCGGGCAGGTGCTAAAGCAGACCCGGGAGCGATGCTCGAAGGTCAGCCCCGCTCCTGCAGCCCGACAAGCCCCAGCCCCACTGCCAAGGGGGCACCAGGCTCCGGGCATTGCGTCCTCACCTTCTCCGCTTGAGCGGGAGCCCAGGCTGGAGGCTGCGGCGCCGCCTGATGAAGTTATAATTCCTGAAGTTCCTCCAAAATGAATATGGATGCCCATCTGCCTCCGCTTAGGTGTAACAAATTGTTAGAGATTGCGTTAAATTATCCCGAAACCGTGTCCACCGCTGACATCCCAGCTACCCTGGGCCCGGAGCGGTTGTGGCCCGGAGCTGCCGGCGGATGTTCCACTGCCGGGAAGAAAGAAGTGCTGCAGACTTTTAATTTTTCATCAGTATCGAGCAGATAAAGTCCTCCACAGCTGCCTTCTCCTGGAGAGGAGGAGCAGCCATTTTCTGGGAGGCAGGGGCTGCCCCCAAGACCCCTCTCGGTGCACAGGGACACGGGCTTGTCCCCAGAGGGTGGCAGCAGGGCTCGGGGCACCACGGGGAAACTGAGGCACAGGAAGATTCCCACGCCCTGCGTGCGCAGCAGAGCAGTGCCCAAACCAGGAGCCCGACGACTCGGTACCTTGCTCTAAGCGCCAGATAACACATCTAAAATGTGTTTATTTCCATCCAGGCTGCTTTTTAATTTGATTATTTATCTCCCGTTTAGCCTTTGACAGATCAAAGGCTCAGCGGAGGGGAAGCGGAGCTGGGCTGCGCATGAAAATGAGCCTTGATACATAATTAATTAACATAAAACAGTTTCATTAGGAGATGGTGTAACGTGGCTGTTTGTCTTAAAAATTTAAGCTGCGTAAAGAGCACGGGGGAAAG